CCGCCGCCAGCCCCTGTATTTAGGTCACAGCCATGGTGTTCCCTGCAGGGGAAGGGACAGGGGACATCAGGGCCGGCCGCCTGGAAGCCTGCGAGAGCTCTGCTTCCAGTCCCGCCTGCACCAGCCAACCCCAGCCATCCCCGCCAGCACCATGCGCTCCCTACCTGCCAGCTCCCGCTGCTCCGGGCTCACTTTGCCGGCGGCCAGGATCATGGGGACACTGCCAAAGTACCCGTTGGTGATGCCCATGAGGAGGGAGAAGATGCAGGGCCACGCAGGGTGGCCAAAGGCAGGTTTGCCGTTGGGGTACACGCACATGATGAAGAGGGGGATGAACACCACGCGGAGGCAGGAGTAGATGAGGAGGTGAGTCCCTCGCCAGTCATAAGGCAGGGCAGCCAGGATCTGAACCAAGGAGGGGAGAGACCACACTAGGGTAGAAAGCCAAGCAAGGGCTAGATGGATGAGGGGGGCAGGGAGTCCAAATCAGTGGCCCCAAAGAGGACAGGAACTGCTGAAGACAAGAGCATCTGATGCAGGATCTCGACACTGGCCATCCTGATGAACAACCTCACACTGGTTAGATGACCCAAGGGCCAGAGATGACCCTTGATAAAGACAAGAGGCTTTCAAAGAGCAGAGAAGGGAAAGGATAAAAAAAGGGTGCAGGGAGTCAGCTCCTCTCCCCACGGAAAGGTGGGGAGGTCTTCTCTCAGCCCGTTCCTCAGCGTCGCCCCAGTGGGGCTCTCCTACCTTGCCAACAAAGTCCGAGAGGTTGAAGATGGCCATGATGAGGATGGGGAGCCATTCCCCTAGTGTGCAGTTGTGGATCTCTGACTCCAGCCCAGGAAAGAGGCACAGCGTGATGAAGTAGGTCATAGCAATGGAAAGCATATAGGCCCAGATGACCCTGGAGACCACGTAGCGGTGGAGCAGCATGTCTGAGGGAGAAGGCAGAGCAGCTCAGCCAGCAATGGATAAACCAGAGCTCTTTCCCCTCCTCCAGCCTCCTGTCAGCCTCCGCCCAAAAGTCAGAGCCAAAATGACCGTGCCAGTGAGGCGGCAGCTCTCACACATTGGCACATTTGGGGATATCTTCTCAGGAAGAGATTTTTTTCCCCAAATTCTTGGGCACAGAGAGAAATGAGCCCCCCAAAGTCCTGGGTAGTGGATAGTGCCTTCTGCCCCATAAAATGCTGCAAAAATGCCCCGTGCCCTCCACCTGCCTGCCAGACCAGGTTGTCAGGCAAACCCACCACTCAGAACCTACCTCTGAAGCTTGGCCAGCTCCTCTTGATTTTGGGCCGAGGGACGTCGAAGCGCATGTAGGTCCCGCTACCAGCCAGCTCTGCTTCATGTCCCAGGCTGCCTGTGGGGGATCCCAGCTGCCCTCGAGGCCTGTTCTCCTGCACAGAGGAAGATGAGCCCCAAGGTGTGAGCCCCGGGGCTGGTGGGCTTGAGGCAGGGGAGCATGGTGGGGACCACAGTGGAGAGCAGGAACACTGTCCCTGTGCCAGACCGTCCTCTGCAGCAGGGCACTTACGAATCGGATGTCCTCAGCGGTGACATCATGGTGAACCCGGTACCCTGTCCCGCAGTCCCCAGTTCCCTTGGGCTCGGGGAGGCCCTTGTGGGAGCTGGTGGTGTAGTAGCGAACAAAGTGGGTGCGCTTCACCAGAAGATGGAGGATGAAGCACGTCAGCTCCATGCCGATGGAGATGAAGAAGAAGATGACCGTGTTCTCCTTCTCGTCTGACAGCAGGAGCTTGGTGAAGATACGGCTGAGGGAGATGATGACCCCGGCGGTGCCTGGTGGGACAACCAGAGCAGGACGGTCAGGAGAGCTCCCTCCACCACCAAGGAACAGTCACCCTGGGAAAGCCCGGCTGAGCCTGGCCCTAAGCAGAGATGCGATGCTGAGCAATGCCAGCCTCTGGACGTGGAGCACCTGCCAGCAACAATTTTGGGGAGATGGACCTGGCTGCTACCCATCCCACGGCGGAGGACCTCCTGCATGGGCAGCATGAAGGCTGCACAGGTGGGGCTTCCTTTTGTCCACCTCCAGCAACTTTGCAACCCATAACCAAATCTCTTGGGGGACGCAGAGGTGCCCATAGCCCCTGCAACTCCGCTACGAGCGCCCAGCCACCCTGAGCACACACGGGGACGCGGGCGGTACGTGGGTACTTACTCTCACCCGTCATCACCCCCTGTGTGTAGCGCTTGGGGAGCAGCCCGGTGTAGCCGTAGAAGCTGGATTGCTGCACTTCAAGACAGAGATGTGCAAAGAGGAGGAGGAAGAGGATTAGTGCTCCAGCCAGGACCGTCCCTGCCCCAGGACCTGGAGCCCCAATGTGATTAAGCAGCGTCGGATCAAGCCAGGGCAGCTCAGAGGGCACGGAGCCACCCTGAGTGATGCCGGCAGGGAATATCACGGCGCCAGACACCCTGCAGAGCCTGGCTTGCCATGGGGAGAGTGAGGCGCGAGGGGGATCAGTCGCAAGCCCGACACTTGGTGGCCAGAGGAAGAGGAGGAGTGAACATGCCCCACACCGCAAGAGCGAAGAGCATCACACAGCCATCGTGAAATGGCTAGAAACAGCCCCAAAAGCAGAAAAGCCCTACAAGGGTGGTCCCATCCCAAGGAGCCCTTGGCTGCAGCTGTTTGTGCTCTTTCCTCCTGCTTCGTCTCCCCAGCAGTGATGCCAAGGGCGGGCAGTGTGCTTCATGCAGATTCAGGGGCTCGGGGACCAGGCAGTGGGATGGGCAAGCAAGTGTTTATCCCAAGAGACCATGGATCTTTGGGATGGGGCTGTTTTCCCATCCTTATCAGAAGGGCTGTCCGTGTCCCCTATCTGCACCGGCAGCCGCCCTGACATACCTGTGCAGCCAAAGGCCACCACCCCCACAGCGATGAGGTTGATGGCGTATGCTTGCCGGTGGGTGAAGAGCTCCAGCCAGACATCGCAGATGCTAACGAAGAGCAGGGGCCCCAGGGCGAGGAGGTAGCCTGCAGGGGGGGACACAGAGGTGGGTAGTGGCTGGGAGCGAGGGATTGGCACTGGCCGTGGACGCGTGGGGCTGCACACTCACCTACGGCGATCCTAGTGTGCAAGCTCAGCAGCTCCACGAGGGCGTTGTTGAGGAGGACGGCCACCAAGGCCACCAGGATGTAGGTGAGGCTCATGTCGAAGACGATGGAGGTCCCTGTGGAGGAGGCAGGGCGCTGGGGGTGGCCGCCTGGTGGCCTGGCTCCTGCAGGAAGCATCCCCCAGCTCTTCCCATACTTAGGGACAGGGCCCGTTGTGCCCTTCTGAGCCCGCTCAGCACCATTAGCTCAGCCAAGAGCAGCCTTTCTAGTGTGGAGATGGCTCACTTACAGGAACAAATCAGCCCGAATCATGGACCCGCTCAAGCAACTCAAGCAGGCCTTCCCACATCAGCCTTTTTCCATGCCCTCTAAACCTGTCCCTGGCTCATCTCCCTGCACACCACCATGGCATGCAGGACGCAGGCCCGGGACGTGCTGAGAGCACTGCAGCCAAAGAAGACCTACCTGGATATTTATGATGCAGATAGTCCACATCAGTGATAAAGCTGTTGTATGGCAGGAGAAATCCCACCCCGGCCAGCAGCATGGCAAAGTAAATCCCGTGGTATCGGTCCTGGGGCTCGGGGTCCTCAGAAACTGTCCCTGAAAGGGGAAGGAGAGAGAACAATTGACGGTCGTGCTGCATGCCAAAACCCCCTGCTTGCAAATACAAGATGCTGCTTTTGCACACGGGAACCAGCCCTTGGTGGTGGTATAGCCCTGCAGCCAGCTGAGACAGGGTGGGATTGTTCAGGGTATTTTTTTCAATAACATCTCTTAGCTCAGAGGAACATCCCTTGTCCCAGGGAGCAGCATCTCTCCCGGGGCTGGTGCTGCTGGTCTGGTCCCAAGGGAGCACATCTGGCTGCCCAGAGCCTGTCTCATGCCAACCTCCTCCACTGGAGGAAAGCCCTGTCAGGATCCTTTATGGCAAATGAGAGTATCATGGCTGGCTAAAATTGCCCCATGAGTAGCAAGTGCTTTGGCAGCAAGGAGAGCTGTGGGCACCCGGCAGCGCTTGCGCTAATAAACGGCACTAGCCTGAAGAAATTCCTTCCATAAATAAAGGCGTTTCAATGAGAGGCCCAGGAGGTAGGAGAATAGAAGGCTTTGCTGGCTGACAACTTCAAGTAAGAGCCGAATAGCCTCACGGCCAGATCATGTCCATAACAACCAAACCCAACACACAGGAGGCATCAAAGACCATGTGGAGGCAGAGACACCAGTGGCCCGGGGTGCAAAAGGGCAGCGGAGGGCCAGGGCAAGGCTCGGTGCAAATCTGCTGGCTTCCTGGGAGATGTCCCCCATGTCCAGCCTCTGCCTAGCTGGGAAAGGGCAAGACCACAGGACAGAGAGTGCAGGGGGCACAAGCCAAGCAGAGAGCCATGAGCGCCAGGCAGGAGGAACAAGGCAGTAAATGTGCAATTTGCTGGTAAAAGGCAGGATCTGCTGCTGCAGGATGTTGTGCAGGCTAAAATAGGCACAAATAGGTCCCAAAAAAGCATTAGGCAATTTTATGGTGTTTCAGTCCATTTGTGGCTATTAAACGCAGCCCAGGAAGTTCCCACTCTGCTGGGAAGTGGAAAAGCAGCAGTGCAGATAGCTCATAGCCTGCTGTCCTCCCAAATCTGTCCCTTGGTGGCAAGTACCCTGTGGGGCAGCTCTATCCTTCCCCTGAGTTTCTCCCATCCGCAAGCCTCAGGGTGCTGGCACTGGGTGGACAGTGGGTTCCTCGCAGTGCCCGTCACCTGCATGGCTGTGTCCCCTGCTGAGCCCTTACCTGGCTCCATGAAGGTGAGGACACCCTTGGCCTGGCTCCCTTTTCCCTGTAGCTCTTCCTCCTCCAGCTGGTAGCTGTCGAAGCTGAAGCTCATCACCACGTTGCCCTCTGGTGTCCCTGCCGGGCTGGTGTCCTTGAAGCGGTTGGCTCCCACCGAGCCCATGGTGGCTGACCTGTCAGGAGACCAGTGACACCAGTCAGGAGCATGGGTGGGTGAGATCTCTGGCGCGCCCCGCCTGGGACAGTCCCAGGTGTCCCCACATAGGTGGCACAGTCTCTTTGCAGCCCTCACCATAGGGTTGTTATTTGGAGGGCGGCTGCACCCCACTGAGCTGCAAGGGACGGCTGCAGCCAGGGTGGCTCAGGGCCCATGCTGCACCGCTGTCCCCAGCGGGACCGATGTGCCTGCTCAGGGCACGATGCTTCTGCAGCATTCAGCCCTTCCCCCCAGGTGCTTCTCCATCAACACCCCCGTGACCCCAGCAATGTCCCCATGCTGCCCGTGACCTTGGGATGCAATTGTCGACCTTCAGCTCTTCAGGCTTGGAGTAAAAGCATCTCCATGGCTTCCTTCTCCTCCGTCCCACCAATGCCTCACTCTGGGTATGAAGAAACCAGGATCTCTTTTCCTCGACACCCCCCCTCCAGGAAGGCTGCTTTCATCGAGCACAGTGGGGACCCCAGCAGGCCATGCAGCAGCAGCAGCCCGCGAGCCACAAGAGCAGAGGAGGAGGAGGAACGCCATTTATGAGAACGACTCAGGACAGGCGCCCCTGCTCCAAGCATCCTGCTCCAAGCAAGAGCAGAGGTTTTGGGCTGCAAGTGGAGAACTGTTGGGGTCCATGGCCAAACTAGGGCAGTGCAAATCAGCAGCAGTGGCATTAACCTGCTGAGCTCCTCACCACGGGATGCTGTGAATGCCAAATGCTGGCATGACTTCCAAAAGCAATTAGATAAATTAATGGGTGAAAACCATTCACGGAGGGCAGTTGAAAGGGAAGAGCCCACTGCCTTGGGAAGTCCTTGCTCACCGCACCCTGAGCCTGTGTCATCCCATGTTAACTCTGTCTTTGTGCTCTTTTCTTGACTGACCATGGGTAGGGGCTGAACTACTGGCTTGGGCTTAAATTGGGGAGATACCCTTCTGCTCATGAGATGGGCCAGCAAATGAGCACAGCGATGCTGGCGGAGGTGGGATGGACCAAACAGGCAAACTTGCGTCTCAGTAACAGCTCCCAAAAGATCTGGCAACCTTCAGAGACCCCACCAACATCAGACTGAAATGTGGTTCCTCCTTTCAGGTCTATCCCAGCCCAAATCCCCCCCGTGGAGAGCAGCCCTGGTGTACAGGAGGGGATGCTCTGTATTACCGGCACCAGTCACTAGATGCCAGCCTGCCTCCGCCGCCAGCCGGGCCAGGGACCACCCATCTGGCTGGGAATAAAACCTCCTTCAAGCCAGCAGGTCGAGGCCAGCAAGGGAGGAAAAATCAATTAAAGTCATTTGTCTTGTCTCTCTGCAAGCTGTGGTGTTTGCAGGAGCAGAAAGGTTTCTTCAGAGCCTCTCTGGCTCCAAGCTGCCAGGACACGTACAAGATGAACAGACAGGAAAATTGTGGGCTGCAAACGCAGCTGCCCACAGACTTGTGTGCATGCAGCTGACCCCGGATATCACTTGAGATTTCACTTTTTACATTTTCTCCCCTTTCTTTCCTCAGCCCCAGAATATATTTGCTTATTGCAGGGCCTTGCTGCACCTGCAAAGCAGTAAGCCCTGCACCCAGGGCTGTGTCAGAGCCCGCGGTGCTGAAGGGCCCCAAATCAGGCCAGAAGCTGGTTCTCCCCACACAGAGACCCCCCAGAAGCAAAGGCAGCATCCCTGCCCTGGAGCCAGTCGGGCGCATCCTCTGTTGGCTTCCCACAAGGACCAGGCGTTTCTCCACTGGCTCATGCCCAGCCCCGATGGAGCTGGTGCCAGAGCTGACACACGCCTGCCTCGTCCCTCCTTGGGAGAGCCACACTTTGTCAGCCCAACGTGGGCCCCCTTCCGCCCGGTACTAAGGACTGTGCACGAAAACCAGCCAACGCAAGCCTGGCCCGTACACACTTGATGCTAGAGACACCCCAGGTGGTAGGACCCGACAGGAGCCATCTCCCAGGCCGCTTGGAAAGCCTGTTGCAGGCTTTTGTAAGGAAATCCTGCTTGGAGAATAAGCCTATTACAACGGCTTCTTATTTAATGTGGCTCGAACTTCTTACTGACAGCAGCAGCCAGGGGAGCCAGGAGCAAAGCGGGCTGCGGTGCGCGGCCACGGTGCTGGAG